TCCCTATTAAATCCTGCTAATTTTCTAGGTGAAGGCTGTGAAGTGAATGTGAGGAAGCATTAAAAGGGAATTGAATTTGCATTCCTTATGCTACAGGCACATGTTTACATGACCTTTAAAACAGAATTAAAGCTGTATCATCAGCAGCTGTAGGCAATTCACATTACTAAGGCAATCAAATCAGAAGGCTAAACTAACTATAAAACATAAATTAAACTGATAGAGAATCATCCTAATTCACTAGGTTTACTTGCAATTTACTTATCCGCTACTAGTAATTTCTAAACAGTTTGGAGAAGAGGCAAAGAGGAAATACTTGGATGTGGCATTTCAAAACTGTGTTGTCCGAGGGGGAGAGCCGGCTTTCCCGGGGTTCTCCATCAGGGATCGCGGGGATAACAGCCCGTCCCGGTCCTCCAGAGGTCCGCGAGGGGCCTGCAAACTGACACCTGCACTCCTAAACCCCGAGCTTTATGGGTTGGCTCAAGCCCCCCCGGAGTCCCTTTGCTCTCTGGAGGACGCTCAGAGACGCCGTTTATTTTCGAAAATATGAAATAACTGCATGTCCAATACAGCTCGCGTTGCACCGCTGCCTTCTGCCCCCTCCCCCATTCCCAGAGGGACACTTTCCAATGTCTGAAGCACGGCAAGAAAACCCACAAAAATCGATAGCACCGGTGATTTCATTAAAAGTTTGCAGAGTGCCTTTCCCCGGCTCTGCTCCGGCGCTCCCGGGAGGAGCGGGGCCGACTCGCCCCCCCCTGCCCCGGGCACCCCCCGCTTTGATTTATTCCCATTTATTTCTCGCAGCCGAGGGCTGTCTCCCCCCCTTTGATGGAGACTCTCCCGTGTGCGCTTCCCTGTGCCCTGGGGCCAGCGGTGATTTATTGTCCGCCCGCCTCCCCATGAACTTCTCCCCCGCAGCCCCCGCCGTGCCCGGGACCCCCCGCCCGGGGAGGGCACAGAGGGGCAGGGATGCTGCAGCCTCCAGGGGCTTTCATCGGGATTCTCCCGGGCGAGGGTGGAGAGAAAATGTACCGTGAGGTCCCAGGGAACCGCACACGCTCAACCTGCCTCACGACCCCCATCCCCATCCTGCATTGCCCAAGCGCAATTCACGAAGGAAACATCTTTTAGCAACGCAGCCTGGCCTGAAAGTTCATTCTTATAACAGCTTTGGTCGGCTCAACCTGAATGAAGAGGGCAGGAAACTTTCCACCAAGCCGTAAACACGCGAAAGTCTGTGACAAAACAAGAATTAGCAGCAGCATCTACGTATTTCTAAACGTAAATCTAGGATTGACGAGGCGCTTCAAAATGCAGGAGGCGTTTCAATCCCTCTGCGGGATCAGGAGCATCGCTGGATGCTTTGCACGATGAGTGCTACAGCTGGAAAAACGTATAGTTAATAAATAAATAAAGGGAAAACCCACAACACATAAACCCCCAAACCCCACATGGAAATTGCTCGCTAAGCTACCAAACAGCAACGCAGGTATTTGTCATCCAAGGAATAGAGCGATTTGTCTTCAGTGTCTCATTAGTCAACAGAGGTTAACTAGCGTGCCAGTTAGTGCGTGTTCAAATCCAACCCATTTTCCTTTAAATATGTCTGAGCAGGAATCTGTCCGTTCGGGAATTGTGTGTGGATTATTTCTAAAGCTCGGGCAGGATGGCCTCTGGCGTGGCAGGAGCTGCCCAGGAGCTGGGGGTGCCCATCCTGAACCGCATCCCCCCGTTTGCTGGGAGAAGCTTCACAGCAGAAAAAAAAAAAAAAAAAAAAAAAAGAGCTAAAAAACCACGGGATTTCGGTCCGGGATGAAACAAACGCATCCTTGTCATCACGCCTGTGTGAATGGCACGGTGAGGAAAGTGCCTACGTAAAAGGGAAGGGACCCGCATTGTTGTGCGGGTCTATTAACTCCTGCCGTGACCTCAGGAGCTGCCACGCACCGCCCGAGGAGGGTCCGCGGCCGCAGCCCCCTCTCTCCCCATCCCTGTTTTCTCCATAAACACAACAAAACCCGACGTTTCAATTCGTGGATTTAATAAACGGCCAGACCGGTCCCGCAGCAAAAAATGTGCACTTTGCAGAGACTTCCCGGAATATTGATGGTTTTTCGCTCCGTCAACCAAACGTTCGAGACGAGACCCGCTAAAACCGACCCGGCTCCAAAATAAGTGACCTGAACATGACGGGGTAGTGCACGAATGAACGACATTTTTTTTCCCGCAGCAAGTACGCTTTTTCAAACATCAACAACGTCGAAAAAAATATTAATAATAATAACAATAACAGGCGATTCAAGCAGAGGAGCGAGGAGTCGCCCAAAACGCTTCGGAAACCGCAGCAGTTAGAATACAAATACTATTTACCTTGTGATTTTTTCCTGCCCGGGACTGGCTTTATTGTCCCTCCCTGGACCAGCCCAGCCGCAGCCACGCTCCCTCCGTGCCGGGCTCTTTGCTGCCGGGCTGGTGCTGGGAGAGATTTGGGGGGGGCCGCTTTCATTCTTACATTAGGACTAGTTTAATTTGCAATCTGTCAGTCCATCTCCTGGCTGGGGCTCTGAGATGGCAGTGTGTGGCTCTCTCCCTCCTCTCTCCCTGCACAGCATTTACTCACGTTCAAGAGCAGCCAACAGAGACCAAAAAAAAAAAAAAAAAAAAAGGAACTAATTGAGCTTGTGTCGGTATTGGCTAATTTCTGCTAATACTCTGTAAATTCCTTTTTACTTCTTAAGCTTCCCCCACGCAGGTTAGGTGTTCCCAAAGCCTCTCCGGAGCTCCAGGAGCCTCTTTCTCAGCCCTGATGGGTGGCTGGGCTTCAGCGCCTGGATGTACACAATGCAAACCTTAACTCCTGGCTCCAGAAACGGTTAAATTGCCCTTTCCCAGCCCCCACCCCCGTTATGATTGACTCTGTTTTTAAATTTGCACTTGTTCCCACCAAGCGCAATCTAACTCGTCCTGTCTCTAAAGTGAACTTGTGTTGAAGGTGAAGTTTTCTATATAGAGGTCACGACACCGAGGCACAGCTTACCGCTCCGAGCTTCATGCTGTATTAAACACAATCAAAACGAACCCCTTTTAGACCTTTTTTTTTCTTTTTTTTTTTTTTCTCCTTCCCCTCCCGCGGATGAACAATGAGCAAAAAAAAAAAAAATAAAATAAATCTCTTAAATATAATAAAATCAGCTCTGTCACGATAACAAACGCGCTCCTGGGCTCGCTCTGTGCCAGGTCCCTTCCTATGGAACACAAACACACCGCACCCCGCGTTGGGTTGGAGCTCTTAAAGGGGAACGTGCGGGGTTGGTGCGGGGACAGCCCACCCTGCCCCGAGCGTGGGGGACACCGAGGGGACGCCACGCACCCGGGTGACCCCAGAAAGTCCCGGTCCCGCCTGTGCCGGGGGGGACTCCACACAATCCCTGCACTTCAAAGCGGGGGGTTCTCTCCAGCGACTTCTCGCTGCCCCAGGACGGTGCTGCCTCCCGCTATTGTGCGAGCTTTTTCACGCCAAAGATTTAGCAGAAAAAATAGATATTAAAGCGAGTTATTTGTTGGGCAAACGCGGGTCTCTCTGGGGCGGGGGCACCCGGAGCCAAAGGGCTGGAGCGCACGGTCCGAACCCAGAAAGTTTTTTTACATTTTTTTTTTAAATAAAAAAAAACTTTAATGGGTTTCGGTCTATGAAAAATAAGTTACAAATTCTTGCAACAGTAGCTTTGCATGTACTTATTTTTCTCCCATGTCCAGACGGGGTCGGCTATTGAATAAGGCTCTTTTATTCTGCATGGGGCAGGGGATTTGTGGCCATGGTCCCCCTTTTATTCCTCTCTCTATGGAAACCCAGATCATGGGGAGAAATATGCGAGGCTGAATAAAGAAAAGCAGCAGAAAGGACCGCTTGAGAGCGGCATCTGTTACACTTGGGAAGTTAGACTGACAGGAAAGAGCTAAAGAAACCCTCTCCAGCAGATTAGTTAGAACAGCAAGAAGATTTAACTATATGCAGATAAAAACACTATAAAATCCACCATACTCTGCTCTAGGCGAGGTGAGAGCCGCCTCGGCAGGAGCGGAGCCGGGCTCTGCCTTAGCTACATTTGCAGCAAAGATTAAAATGGGACGTTCGGGGTTTTATTTCCCTGCTAGAGACTCTGCCTTAATTAAACGGCGGATCTGAGCATCTATTTTCACGGGCGATGGGATTTGAAAAATTGTTTCGGAAGTTAAAGTGCAAATTAATTTTAAATAATTTAGTTACGTTTTTATACAGTGCGGATTTGATGTTGTTGGGGGGTTTTTTTGGTTGGTTGGTTGGTTTTTTTTTTTCTTTTTTTTCCTCCCTTTTTCCCGCGGGCTCCTGTGATGTTTATTTCGAGGAGCTTGTGAAGGCGGAGAGTGGGGAAAAAAAAAAAAAAAAAGGAAAGAAAGGGAAAAAAAAAAAAGGTAAAAAAAAGAAAGAGAAAAAATGAAAAGGCTAAAAAAAACCAACCAACCAACAAGGAAAAGGCTGCTGGTACAACTCCTTCCCTGCCCTCCCCGCGCTCCGCCGGGCTCGGCCGCGGTGCTGCGCGCCCCGCACCGCCCGCACACCCCGCGCGGAGAGCGGGGCTCCGACAGGGACATTCCCATTCCAGACCCCCCCGCCGATCCCCCCCCCCAGACGCACACACCCCCCCACCGCCGCCGCTCTACCCGCAAACTTCATTTTTTATTTACTTTGCCTTATTTTTTATGTCTTTCCCCAGCCGCTCCCCCCTCCCCGCACCCCCGCGGGTGCGCAGCGCGGCGGTGCCCGCCGGGGACCCGCAGCCTCCCCGATATATCGCGATCTGCCTCCGGCCACGCAGCCCGCTCTGCTCCTTCAACACCCAGCCCTGCCTTTACCCCTCTCGCACGCTGCCCCGGCGAGAAATTATTGTGATTATTATTATTATAATGAGCAAAGCGATGGGACCCGGCTCGGAAGGAACCAGAGGAGCGCTCACCTTATTTAGATCTATTTTCTCATTTTCTTGAATTTTCTTCAGATCTGTCTTCTCAGAGAAACTAATGCCTTAATGACTTTCTGGTAGCTGCAAGCCTTCTTTTATTTCTGCTAAATATATGAAAATGTATGCAAATTTAAATCAAGCTTAACCTAGGAGCTCTTGCAATATATTTAATGGAATTTCAAACCAATAAGGGGACTCTGATGCAGTCTTCTGGAAGTGCAAATATAATTACGCAGCTCGGTTACCTCCGAAACGATGCGGGGAAAGGTCATTTTGGAACTCGGGAGCGGGTCGGGGGGTCCCGGGACTTCTCCTCCGCCCGCCCCGCCGGGGCTCGGGGGGTGCGGGGCTGTGCCCGGCGGGCCCTGCCGAGCCGGGGGGCCCGGAGCCGCCCCCCGGGGGGTGCCTGGGCACCGCACGCGCCTTTTCCCCCGTTGTTTTCCCTTTTTCTGGCGTTTTTTGCCCCTTTTTCCCGTTTCGCCCCGCAGTCCGCCCGCCGGGCGCGCACCGCGCCCGTGCGCTCCGCGTCGCCAACTTTGAGAGGCACCAGCGGGATGTACCGGCGGCGGGGCCGGGGAAGCTCCTTTTGGGGCTGCTTTTTATTATTTTGGGGGTTTCTGAGTTTTCTTTCCCGACGGAGCGCGGCGACCCGGGGGGCGGGGGGGAAGGAGGGGGCGGGCGGGCACGGGCAGCCCGGGGCAGCAGCACCGCGGGAGGAGCGGAGCGGGCGCTGAACCCCCGGAGCCCGGCCCGGCGTGCGGGGGGCGGCGGGGGCAGCCCCGGGGTGGTCCCGCAGCGCAGCCGCCGGGGCGCCGCCGTTTAACCTCTGCCGCGCTCTCCCCCGGCGCTAATCGCTCCCCATTTAAGCCGTGCCCCCCACGCCTCCCCTCCCCTCCCCGTTCCCATCGCTCCCCCGTTCAAGCCGTGCCCCCCGAAGCCCCCCCGGTGCCGGCGCGGCGCGGAAGGAGTTAACGCGGCGGGGCCGCCTCGCGCCCGGCCCCCGGTGCCGGCGGAGTGATTCACTTCCTGCCTCGCGCCCGCGCGGCGCCCCGGCCCCGCCCACCTCCGCCTCGCCCCGCCTCCGCGCCGCTCCCATTGGGCGGCGCGGGCGGCGGCGCGGCGCCATTGGTCGCGGCGGGTGTCAGTCAGCGCGCGGCCGCCGCCGGCCCGCCGTGCCGCTGGATGTCAAAGCCCGGCGCGGCGGCGGCCGCTCAGTATAACTCGTGGGGCTGCGGCGGCCATGGCCACAGCCGCCTCCAACCCCTACGGCCTGCTGGGCGCCGGCGCGCTCGCCCACGCCGAGGGCGCGGGCATGCAGCAGGGCAGCCCGTTCCGCAGCCCGCAGAAGCTGCTGCAGAGCGAGTACCTGCAGGGCGTCCCGGGCAATGGGCACCCGCTGGGGCACCACTGGGTGACCAGCCTGAGCGACGGCGCGCCCTGGCCCGCGGCGCTGGCGGGCGGCCCGCTGGAGCAGCCCGACGTGAAGCCGGGCCGCGAGGACCTGCAGCTGGGCGCCATCATCCACCACCGCTCGCCCCACGTCTCCCACCACTCGCCCCACGCCAACCACCCCAGCGCCTGGGGGGCCAGCCCGGCGCACAGCGCCTCGCTCGCCGCCCCCCCCCGCCGCCGCCGCCGCCGCCGGGCAGCCCCTCGGCGTGTACTCGCAGGGCGGGTTCGCGGTGGGCGGGATGCTGGAGCACGGCGGGCTCACCCCGCCGCCCGCCGCCGCCGCCGGGCAGGGCTTGCACCCGGGGCTGCGCGGCGAGGGCGGCGGCGAGCACGGCGAGCTGGGCGGCCACCACTGCCAGGACCACTCGGACGAGGAGACGCCGACCTCGGACGAGCTGGAGCAGTTCGCCAAGCAGTTCAAGCAGCGCCGCATCAAGCTGGGCTTCACCCAGGCCGACGTGGGGCTGGCGCTGGGGACCCTCTACGGCAACGTCTTCTCGCAGACCACCATCTGCCGCTTCGAGGCCCTGCAGCTCAGCTTCAAGAACATGTGCAAGCTGAAGCCGCTGCTGAACAAGTGGCTGGAGGAGGCCGACTCCTCCACGGGCAGCCCCACGAGCATCGACAAGATCGCGGCGCAGGGGAGGAAGAGGAAGAAGCGGACCTCCATCGAGGTGAGTGTCAAGGGCGTGCTGGAGACGCACTTCCTCAAGTGCCCCAAGCCGGCCGCCCAGGAGATCTCGTCGCTGGCGGACAGCCTGCAGCTGGAGAAGGAGGTGGTGCGGGTCTGGTTCTGCAACCGGCGGCAGAAGGAGAAGCGCATGACCCCTCCGGGGGAGCAGCCGCAGCACGACGTGTATGCCCACGGCGTGAAAACGGACACGGGCTGCCACGACCTCTGACCGCGGTCCGGCCGCGGGACTGCCCTCGGGGCTTTAACTTATGCTTTCGGGAGTCGCGGCGCGGGGTCCCCGCCCGCCGCCGCCTCGGCAATATTTTTATTCCTCTCTCCGACCTTCCCGCTGGTCACACACGGTGTTTACTCGCAGACAAGGTTTGTTTTTCGGGCTCCGCTTGGACGAAGGGAAAAAAAAAAAAAAAAGGCGAAAAAAAAAACCAACCAACCCGACCACACAACAAAAACAAAACCCAAACGGAAAGGAAAAATAGAGAGAAAAAAAAAAAGGAAAACCCACGGGAAAAAAAAAAAGAACGTTAAAAAGAAAAACAAAACAAAAACAAACACAAAACGAAAAACCCGACAGAAAAGGAAAGACAGATGTGTGCCTATGAATAACCTTCCAGCGCCTTGGTTATATCAGCTGTATTTCAGGTGAATCTGTTTTACAATAGACTAGTTTTGCATTTTTAAAGACTTATATAGCGTTTTTAAATGTCTGAGGTGTTTTACTACAAACTGTACACAATATTTGTGACCTAATTTGTACCGAATCGAGCAGTCAAAAGCGTTTCTCCCTTGCCCACGCCACCGGCAATGTCACCCTGCGGGGACGGGGCAGGGCGGCCGCGGCCCTTCCTCGCCCCCCCCGAGGACACGGGGGTCCCTCCGCACCCGCGGAGCCCCCGCACCGATGTGAAGAACAGGCTTATTTGTTGCAGCTTTTTTCTTCCTTTTTCAAGAACTTCCCAACACCGTAAAACGGTCGGGTCACAATCCTGACCTCCCCCCCACTCTTCTCCCAAGGAAAAAAAATTTTTATATATATATATATATATATATATAAAACAAATAATTATTTCTAAGAGATTTACCCGAAATTAAGCATCACAACCAAACCCGTGGCATTTGCCAGTCTTTTTTCTTTCCGAAGATGAGTTGGGCTTTTTGATCAGCGCCAGACTGAGAGGTCTGTAGTAAAACACCTTTATCCTTCTGCGCTTTGGCTTCGGAAATTGGTTTCTCTGTATTTTGTTTCGATAGTGAAGAGGAATGAGGTGTCTCATGAATTTCGGGGAGCCGGGGGGGGGAGGGAGGGATTGGGACAGAAAACACCCGCATTTGGTTCACGCTGAGCTTCTTTCCGTGTCACAGGGAGATGCTGGATTTGTGGAAAAGCTTTTTTGGGGTGGGGGGTGGGGGGAGGAAATATAATCAGCGACAAAACGAACAGGGAGAAAAAAACCAAAACAACAAAACAAAGAAAAAGTCAGTAAAATGCTAAACGCAGAACCCTTTTTTGGGCACAGGGAGGTGCAGAGCTGTAACCGCCCCCTCTCCTCGGCCCTTCTTGGACACAAGGACGGGGGTGCAGCGCCCACGCACCGACCCACGGGGGGGATTGTGTGGGTGGGTGGGTGCTCCCGCACCCCCCGGGGCCGCCGGGCAGGGCCGGGCTCCCCCCGCACCCGGGACCCCCCGCACCCGGGACCCCGCACAGCCCCGCTCCCTCCCCCGCCCTCCAGATGATTTTTTCCTTTCCACATTTATATTTTTCAAGTATTTTTCAGTAAGCGCTAAAAAAAAAAAAATTAAGAAAAAAAAAGAAAAAAAAAAGAGAAAAAAAATAACTCGACACTGAGGACCTGCCTATTTCTGCCAACTTTATAACTGTACAGTTTTGTATATTAAACGTTTTTTGGAAGTTATTAATTTAAAGAAAGATCATTTAGTTTATTCATTTAGTAACTGATGTATAATAAACGCTATTTTCATTAAAGGTTGCTTTTTTCAACTATTTTATCCAAAATTGCCTATTGCAGTTGCCAACAATTATTTATTTTCAATAAATTCCGCATTATGTTTAAAAAAAAAGAGAGATTAAAAAAAAAAACGTTTCAGAGAGAAACGACAAAAAAAAAGCCTAAATGAGTGTCAGATAAAAATAATAATGAAACACACGAGTGGCTGTAACGTTTGGTTGTCGACCAGTTTTAGTCAAGGGGTTTATATTGACGCAATATTTTATTGTTGTAAAAGGAGAAAAAAAATTAAAAAAAAAAAGTTTAAATAAACATTTTTACGAAAGAAAAACAAAATAAGACGGAAAGCTCCGGGTGCGTGGTTTGTGCGGTGGCCGAGCCGCGGTGCGGGGGGTGCGGGGGCTCCTCGGAGGGGGCTCCGCATCCCCGGGCAGGGCCGGTGCCCTCGGGGCAGGGGGTTCGCGGGGGCTCATCCCGGTGGTGCCGGTTACACCTGCCGCAGGAAAGGCGTTTTTGGGGGGCTCGAAAAGGCGCTTTTCGGGATGGAAAAGGCGCTTTCGGGGTGGAGAAAGGCCCTTTCGGATGGAAAAGGCGCTTTTGGGGCGGAAAAAGGTCTTTGCGGCTTTTTCGGGGGTGGCGGGGCCGGGCAGCGTGTGAACATAAACAGAGAGCCGTGTGTGTCTGTGCGGTTTCTGTCGGTGTTTGTGCATCTCGGTGATGTGTAGCGGCAGCAGCGCTGCCCCCGCCTCGCCCCCCGCGCCCCCGCAGCATCTCCCCCTCCACCCGCGGCTGGTCCCCCCCGGCATCCCCGCGGCCCTGGGGACCCGCCCGGCGGTCCCGTCCCCCCCCGAGCCGGGGCACGGAGGAAGTTTCTTTTGTTCCACGCTCGCCGGGCCGCGGGGGCTCCTCTGGCCGCCCCCCGCTCCCCCCGGGCGGGCGGCGGAACAATAACACTCCATCACGGCTAACGGGGTGAGACGGGGCGGCCCCGGCCCCGCCGCCCGCCGGCTGCTGGGGGAGGCAGGCGGGCAGCACAACTTCAAGGGATCGGCAGCGAAACGGCCTTTCATTTCTTTCTTTTCGCCTCTCTGAGGCCGAACCTCGGAGAAAACAATACCCAGCCCTTCTGCCAACAGTTTAGGGGGAGAAAATTACCTTTAGGAATCCTGAGGAGCGACCCGAGCAGGGAGAGAGCTCTTGTCTTCAATAGCCAGCGAGCGGACAGGCGCCTTCCCAACAACCCGGCCATCCTGTACCTGGGAGCGAGAGGGATTTGGGATGTAAACAGCGGGCGAGGCTTTGTTTCTTAACCATAAAACTGATTTATTTCATTTGCAAATCTTGGCGAGCTGCAGCACCGCAGCTTTGGGGACAACTGCCCCTGTGCTGGGCAGCAAAGCCTCCACAGAGGGACCACAACCTCCAGCTCTCTCCGAAAGGATTACAGCAGCAGGAGAAGGAAATATAACCCCCAAAAGCACGTTTTTCAGTGAACTGCAGGAACAGGATAAATGCACACCGGGGACCAAACCAGGAGCAAACGGCCGCGGTTTGGAAACAACCCCAACTAAGGACACGGATGAAAAGCTTCAGGTTAAAACATGCCCTGCGTGGTCACTCTGGCTCTGAGCACGCAGGGTCCTGAGAGGCAAAGCTCTTGAAGGCAGCCTTGGTTTGGAGGAGGGACAGAAGGCGTTTCACTGAAATTAGCCTGTTTTAGAGCCCTTTGGCTGCTCTGTAAATACAACCACAGTGAGGGCTGGGCTATGTCTTATTTTAAAACAAATTAGGTTAAGAGACAAAAGAGATGCAATGAAAGACGAAATCAAGTAAGTTTATAAACAGGAGCACTTCAAAGGCCGCTGGAAAGCTGGGGAAAATAGGGAAGGAGAATTTTGTTTAAAGAAAAGAAAATCTCTGCTTGTTATTGCCCGTCGATTTCAGTGTTCTGCGAGCAAAAGGAAACTCTTTTGTGCCACCTAATGTTAAGTACAGAACACTGTTGTCTTCTTGGCTGCCCATCTTCCATGGTGTGCGTGGGGAGGCCTCGGGGTGCTGAGCCCATCGAGGTGGAGCTCAGCATCCCAAAGTCCCACCAAACCAAGGGCAGGAAGAGAAACTTCAGCTTCGCAGTGGCGGAGCAGGTTACCTTCCGAATTTAGGAATTTTTTAAAAAAAGAACTCAAGAGGGGGTGGAAAGAAGCACGGGGTAGAATCATAAGAATGAGAGACTCCAAATTTGGTCTTTGTTATAATAAGGTAACTCCAGAAGGAGCATATCCAGGGTTTATATAAGCTGCCCACCACCAAGGATCCATCTCAGCAGCCTCTGGGCTTGCAGCAGCTTCTCCCTCTGCTCTCCTCAAGGACCCGAGTGGCCTGGCCTTTGCACAGTCATGTCTCCCAGCTGGAGGAATTTTGGTGTGTATTTAGCAGCCATTCACACTAATTTAGTAGAGAAATACCTCTCACAATCCTTTAAAGAAAGGATTGAAACAAGCATTTTGCTGATAACAATAAATTACACCGGTTTTGTGATTTTAGTGGAGAGCATTAAACATCTTAAGCAATTTTTGAGGCTGAATCTTCTCTGCTTTTCATATTATACAAAAAGAAGAGAACCAGAGGCTTTCTTTGGGTTTAAATTTCAAATATTTGTAAGCTCTGATCTCCTCCTCTCTAAAGAAGGCCAGGACATAGGAGGGGGTTCTTTTCAAAGCAAAAATTACTAAAAGGAAGCAGAGATGCCATTTCACTTTTTATTGGTCATTATAGATGATTCACAATATGGACCAATATACCAACATTTGACCAAGATGCTTTTAAAATCCCTCAAAATTCGGTACTTTGAGTTTTTCTTTCTGTGTTTTTAAGTAGCAATTCCCTAGGTTCAGGCAGAGCAGACTAGAGCAACCTGGTCCTCTTGGGCCATGTATCAAAACCTCCACTCATTTAAGGTAGATCCACACATGGATGGAGGCACATTGAAGACCTAAGTTGTTCCCCCAGGAGCATGTGGGGCTGGGGGTGGATGCTCTTCAGTCAAGGGTCTGATCCCAAAATCCAGACAAAATTCATTGCTTTACTCACCAGAGCAGCTTCCTTGGAATCCAGTGAGCTCTCCATGCAGATGGAATTATTCATTTGTCTTTGCACAATTCCAAGATTCCAGCCTAGAAAATATATATATATATATACACAATATTTCAGGCAGGTGATCAATCCTGCTGATCCCCTAAAAGCCCCAGACATCAGGGCCTACATTTGTACTCACTTTCCCCTTTTCCTAGAGTCCTGTAACCAATAGACTGGAAAGGCTCCACAGCAATTACATATTTAGGATATGTGATAGCTGCAGTTAAGATCTTTACGACTGATTGCAGGATAAAATTTACTTCAAATGTGCAAGAGCCCATTTTTAAAC